ATTAATAATATGATAAAAATATAAAGGTATAAATTTTATCCCAACTAATACAATTATAGAAGTATAAATAAACAAACATTAACTTAAAAGTAATATTAAAGTTATACAATTTTAAATTAAATAACATATAATAAAAGTAATATAATTATAAAAGTAAAGACAAGTAAGTAGTAACCATAAATATAATAATAAGTTTCAATAGTTTCAATATTATTGCTTACTCATCATTATTATCATTCTCCTCAACATATGTTTCTATGTTTTCTTCTTTTGATGTCTCAAAATCTTCCCATTCTCCTTCTTCATCCTCTTCCCCAATCCCTTCCCCAACATCAACTTCTTCATGTATTTAAATAAACCTCCCATCAGAGTATTGCATAGGTTCATAAGCAATGTCATCAATATTTATTTGTTGAGGAATAGGAGGCTCATCGTCTTAGAAATATGGTGTCAATCCTTCTTGTTGGTCATCTTTATTCTCAAGAGCCTCAATGATACTCCTAGCTTTAATTTTAAGTGCAACAATCTATCCCCTTCTTTCATGATTAATAGATTGGTATAGTGTGTAATAAACTTGCCTTGCCTAACTAGCAAGAATGAAAGGCTCATAAGATCGAAGGTATCTTCTAGGATTAATGTCAACCAATCGATGTTTTTGATCCACTTGAACCCCTTGAGCAGGAGGAATCTCATACCAATCACATTTGAATAAAACAATTGCTTGTCAATGGATCGATCCATAATACTCAATCTAAATTATTTCTTGAAGCACACCATAAAAATCATAATCTGATTCAATACCAATAGATTTGATAACACAGACACCACAATTCATTGTTTGCTTATTTCTACCATAGAAGGCAGTGTGAAATCGGAATCCATTGACAATATATCATTATAGCAAGAAACATAATTTTTTGGACTGCTAGATAAACCTTTGATATGCTCATGGACATTAATGAATTCATTACTAATTACCTAAAATATATAGATCGCAGAAGAAAATATTAGATGCATTTGAAGAGAAATAACATATATATGTTAAGGAATTGAATTGTCATATTATTAAATACTCACAGCTCGTTCAAACCAGGGCACAAGGTCTCTCTCTCATTTTTCTTGAATTTGTTGAGGATTCATATTTTGACATTGTTCTCTCTCAAATAAACTAGAAAATATAATAATAGTTTTTTTTTATATATTGTTAATATTTTAATTTCAATAAATCTTAATATAACAAATTAAAGATTTTAGTGTAGGTTTTTTACCTGACCCATCCTCGCAATTCCTCGCAATTCATTAACACATAATATGAAGCAGCTTTGCGTTCCTCTATCGTCAAGCAACGTCTTCCAATTTTGGAACCAATACGTTTTCCAACACATTTAAAGATGGATAGACCACTATTATCACCAAATCCAACAACAATATTCCTAAGGGGATTATCAACTGTACTATGTACTCCATCATCAAAGTAATGAGAGATAAAATTTGTGATCTTAGACATTATGTAACTTTCACATATGGATGCTTTAGGATGCGCTTTGTTTTTCACCATCAACTTAAGACAATGCATTCGCCTGATTCACCAAGAATTATTATATAATTATGTTATGATTAAAATACTAATTTGGTACCTCAACTTCTAAGTTTATATCAAATATACCCTCAAAATTTAAGAAAGTTTCAAAATGGTCCTTGAAAGGACCATTTTTAATTCTTTTTTAAGTTCAATGGTAGCTTTGATATAAAATTGAAAGTTGAAGTACCAAATTGGTATTCTAACCTCAATGCAAAATATCCTATATGGAGTTATATTTATTTTCATATATTATACATTAATTATATTTACCTCTTAAATGGATACATCCATCGAAATTGCACTGGTCCTCCTACATGAGCCTTGTATAAAAGGTGGATTGCAAGATGCTCCATGCTGTCAAAGAATGAAGGTGGAAAGATTTGCTCTAGCTTACAAATGATTTCTGCTATCCTCTCCTACCATATTGCCATGTCATTGACCTGAATCACCACAGCACACAAGGTCCTAAAGAACTCACTAATCTCAACAAGTGGCTCCCAAACTTGTTTTGGTAATAAGTCACGAAATGCAATTGGTATAAGGCTTTGCATGAAAATGTGAGAGTCGTGACTTTTCATACTGAATAATTGTGCCTCTTGTGTATTGACACACCGAGATATATTGGAGGCAAATCCATCAGGAAATTTAAGTTCCTTCAACCGTTGACATATTGATTTTCTTTGATCCCTACTAAGAACATAAGTGGCTTTTGGCTTTTTACTCGAATTCACTCCTATTTTTGATATGTGCAGACTTTTCCTTTTACAATTCAATTCCAGATCAAGTCTTGCATTTATGTTATCTTTTGTCATAGGGTCATCCATTACTGTATGAAAGATATTGTCAAAAAAGTTTTTCTCACAGTGCATGACATCTAAATTATGTCGAATTAAGTTTGTGTGCCAATATGATAATTCCCAAAAGATACTCTGTTTAACCCAATTGTGCACTTCACCAAATCTGTGGATTTCCTGTTTCTGAGGTGGCTTATCAAATAGTACATCAGGCAGCCAATGGATGCGACTATGCATCTCATCACCAGATAATCTCTCTGGCATTATTCCATTCTCTGTACGACCCTTTATAAAGTCATTCTTGTTTTTTCTAAATGGATGCTTTGGTGGCAAAAACTATTGGTGACAATCAAAAAATGATGTCTTCCAACCATTTTCCAACCAAAAGGCCTTCGAATTTTCCCTGCAATAGGGACAAGCTAATTTACCATGTGTGCTCCATCCAGACAACATTCCATACCCAGGTAAGTCACTAATGGTCAACATAAGTGCAGCTCTCATCAGAAAGTATTGACGCCTAAAGCTGTCATAAGTTTGGACTCCAAAATACCCAAACTGCTTTAAATCATCCATTAGTGGTCGAAGCATTACATCAATATTCTTTCTAGGACTTTGGGGACCTTGGGTAATCAATGAAAGGAATACATATTCTTGCTTCATGCACATTGTTAGAGGCAGGTTATAAACTGACACAAATACTGGCCAACAAGAGTATGGAGATGCAGAATGTCCAAAAGGAGTAAACCCATCAATGCACAGACCTAACCTAACATTCGTCGGTTCACTAGCAAACTCATGGTGAGTGCTATCAAAATGCTTCCACGCCTCTCCACATGCAGGATGAAAAATTTTCTCATTTTCATTATGACAATTTAAATGCCAAGTCATATGCTTAGTAGTTTTCCTAGACATATACAATCTCTGAAGTCTAAGAATAATTGGAAGATACCACAAAGACTTTCTTGGTATAGGCTTAGCAGAATGCACATCACGTTGCTTAAATCGTGGCTCTTCACATACCAAGCACTGTAAATAATATTACTTTCATATTCTCCATAATACAAAATGAAATTGTTCACATAAACATCATACTTTTTATACCCAAGACCTAAACATCTCGACATCTTCTTGGCACTATAATAATCTGTTGGCAATTTCTCCCTATCAACTTTTTTGAAGGCCATTAGACTACGCTTTAGCACATAACCCCAATTAGTAACACTCATGTTAAAAAGTATTTTTGCACTCATGAGCTCACACACCCACTTTAAGACAGTGACACCATCATCACACCTTTCAAAAAGAGGTGTATCAGCTGTTCACAAAAGATTAAAGAACTCTTTTGCATCTCCTCTTGACTCCTCAAATATCGATTCGGTACTAACACCATATGGATCACCAAAACTAGCATCAAATTGTGTTGCATCTTTTACCCCTGTGGCACTATTTTCATTATTAAAAAAATTTGGTCCTATGGCATCATGAAGCATGTCTCTGAGTTGATCGACACTTGGAACATTATTCATAGTAGCAGCAGTAGCGGTGACAGCAGCAGCAGCAGCAGCAGCGGTGACAGCAGCAGCACTTAATGATTCACCCACTTGGGTGCAACGTCGTTTTTTATGAATAATATCTTCGTGTCTTTTCCAAATAAAATACCCATCCATGAAGCTGTTTTTAATAAGATGAGATTGCACTTTGCGTCGATGATGCCATTCTCTATTTCAACACTTACTACACGGACATTGAATCATATTCATTGCACAAAACATCAAGTCCGTTTGTGAGAATGCAAAATCTGAGAAAATCTCTACCCTAACATTAAATTCATTGTTCCAATATCCTATTTCATCTCGACGACAATACATCCAACTTCGATCTTCTCCCATAATTAAGTAGCACATGCCTTAAAAATTTAATAATATCTTAATATTATATAACAAGCACTAGAATCATAAATATCAATTTTGGTCCATCAACTTTATGATTTTACACAATTTTCATCCTCAACTTCTTTTTTACTCATATTGGTCCTTCAACTATAAATAATGTACATTTTTAGTTCTTCTGTTAATTAAGTTTCTTTAGCACATTGATCAAAGGATTAAAAATGCAAATTACTCATAATTGAGGGACCAAAAAAAGCAAAAAAAAAATGATAAGGGACAAAAATTATGTAAAATCTTAAGATTGAGGAATCAAAATTAGCATTTATCCTTTTAAAATTACATATGCTATGATAATATATTTAATTACATTTTTAACCAACTAAAAATCTACCTAATTTAATTCATCTTTATAATTAATTAAAAAATTATGAAAGTTAATTTGTTATACATTAATTATTATCATTTAATTTTATAAAATATAAATA